TTGGGAAATGACCAGGATCGTAACAATTGGTATCGGAGCGGACTTACTTGCTGGCGAGAGGTGTTAGTCACCCTAAACCTAATTCCGAGTTAGGTCAGGGCTAACCTAATCTCGGATTAGGGTTGGAAGTTAGGGTTAAGTGGGGCAGTGAGGTATGTGGATACTGCCCCCACCTGGTTAGGTCATGTAGGGTCGACATTTGACCTGACCAGGTTGACTGAGTGAATGGATGGGGTGGCGAGACACAAAGGAGGCTGATTGGAGTAAGAGAGAGGGAGTAGAGAGTGAGAGGTACTCGCACCTGGAATCTGCACTCCAAGAAGACATTGAGTGACTTTTGGGCTTCCCCTCAAGAGGGAGACTTGATCGGAGACTGCCATATCTGCATCGGATTGCTGCAAGTTGCTACTTTGGTCTTCAGACATCGACGGGGGATCCGGCTTTGCAACAGGGGTGTAGGAAGGCCGTCTTAGTCATGCTAGGACACTTCATGTAGTGGTAGCTAGGGGTCAGGAGGACTTATGAGAGAGGGGGGTGACTCGTTATCCATCTTTGGAGGCCGGGCCKCACAGGTAAGTGCCGTGTGACCTGGTTATGCCCGTGGGAGGTTGCTTGGTACTTCATGGCTTGTTGGGGGTGTGCTGGGCTCTCTTCCTCTTCTCTGCGGTCTTGGTTGTGTGTGTGAGCATGTGGATTGCTTTCTCACCTGATGGATGGATGGATGATGTATCTATTCTAAATGACATATCTTTCTACGGTGCATTGTCTTTTCATTTCTGAACGGCTGTAGCGGTAGGTTCTTGCTGGAAGTTGTCTTTTCCTTTTCAGTACGGTAGAGGCAGTTTGGGACCGACTTGGTACCCCTATCACGTTGGTGCTGGTCCACGACCTACTTGGGACCCCTCGGGACCCAGTGGGACCAGGCCCAACGGTCAGGACCTTTTGGGCCCAAATCTGTTGCCGCCTATGCATTTCTTTGCTGCGCTGAATTTGGGGGACATACGGATAGCAAGGGCATTCCTTTCAAGGGGATCTTGACTGGCCTTACCGCATGTTAGCACATACTGCCCCGCGTCTGGCTCGGCGACCGTCTGCACCCCTCGAAATCTCCATTGCTGCAGTTAGCTTTCTTTGACTGATTTATTGTGATACATGTCCCTTGTCAGGTTAGACAAGAGGGGATCTCCAGCTATTCTGATCGGGCCTGTTCTATAAGTCAACCCTCTTTTTCGTTTTATTATTTATTTATTTATTCTTTTATTCCGCTGCGTGCCATTCTCTAAGTCCAAATGAATCGTCGCTCCGGCTAGGAGTTCTACCTTCTTCTCTGTGTGATTTCTGCTTGTTTCTTTCATCTGAACTATCTATGTCCGGTATCGAGACACGTGCGCAGACAACTGAGAGAGAGAGAATGGAGAGAGAAGGTGTTATGTTTGAGAGTGTGAGGAGGGGCAAGAGGAGTGTTCGTCCAAATGTAAGGAGAGAGCGGACCCCTCTTGAGAGATCTATTGACACCCCTTCCTCCGGCATGGCAAACATCACATCTGCCCAATGGCAGGCCATGCTGGATGCAGCAGATGAGAGCGAGAGACCGTTCTTCCAGAAGCTTTATGATGATGCCGTGCAGAGGGAAAGAGAGGCAGAGGCAGCAGCCAGAGCTGCCAACATTGCTGATCAGGTGGCCCTCCTTCGGATCCCGGAAGCCAATGCTGACCGGTTCCAGGAGGGACTAGCTGTTGCCGTAACAGTCTTGGTTCGACTGCGGACCTTGGAAAACCTTGAGTCCCGTGTGACAGCACTAGAGCAGCGAAACGAAGAGTTCCAGGCTGAGCTACTCAGCCTCAAACAGTCCCAACTGTCTGCCCCCCGCCCTCCTAACCCTCGACCTGCTGCAGTCCCAGTCTCTCAATCTAACACAGTACTCGTGGCAAGAGCAAGTGAAATTGTGTCGAGCGCAGGGACCGGTGCCAGCTCCTCGAGCGACAACGCCGGCAGCTCTGCACTAGTCATAGTCCCAAATGCAGGAACATCAGCCCAAAACGCCACAGTCCTTACTGGCGTTCATTACAGCGGTCCCGTAGTGGACAAGCGGGCGGCCACCTTGCCGTCCAAGTATGACGGGAAAGCAGATATCACCTCTTGGATTAGTTCCATGCGGTCATACTTCGAGGTCATGCGGACACTGCAAGAGGACCGAAGCATGATCATGGGCACTAATACTGAGGCCGCCGTATGGAATCACATTGAACTCCAAGCTGTTGCTGCAGGTTATGAAAGAATTGACCTGACTGAGTGGCTGAATGTAACGCCAGTACGCGCCCTTGAGGACCTTCTCATCACAGGGTACCAAGATAAGCATGCTGTGCTCAAGGCTAGGCTGAAGCTTGAGGCCCTCAAGGGCCAAACATGGAGGTCCTCCATGCAGGCTTTGGAACAACACTTGACCGGTCTGTTCACTACTCCAGATCTGGGAATGACCGACGTGTCTTGTATGGATGTAGTCATGGGAGTGGCCCCTAAAGAATACCTCTCCCTGCTAGGACTCAAAGACCATACTACTTGGCGAGAGCTCATGACGGACCTAGTCAACCTAGAGGCCAAGGACCTCGCCAGGCGTAAGAAGGCGCCCGCTGCAGGTGGGAAACAACAACGCAAGCGGTATGGAAGCAGCAACCAGCTTGCCCTGCATGATCATCGGGAGGCTGAAGATCAGTCCTACGCGGATGATCTGTCTCTAGATGACGATCTAGAGTCGGACTCCGATATGGGTTGTTCCAAATCAGCCATTGAGTCTGACGTGAACGAAGACGAAAAACTTAATGCGTTTAAAAAGACTGCTTCAAACAAGGGGCCTAACCGTGGTTCGGGTAAGGGAACTGTTGTCCACCTCCCCAAGAATGCGAAGATCCCTGAGAAACCGGAGGATGCGTCTACCAAGCCTTGGGAAGCCCTTCGTATCAGTCAAAAGGAATGGGAAAGAAGATCTAAACTGCGCATATGCCTGCATTGTCAAAAGCCTGGGCATGCTGTGCAGAACTGTTATAGACTTCAGGGAAACAAGCAAAGGGCGTAGAGGAGTCATCAACACTCCGTACAACAAGGGAAGCTGGAACATCAGTTGCAGGCCCCTCTAATGAGCCTGAATCTGATCAACAACCTACTCTTGAAGCCCGGAACGACGCTGATTCCAAGGCTGCTGCAGTTCATGTGCTATACACTGAGCCTTGGGAGGAGTCTAAGGAAGTTGACTTCCACGCTCACATGGAACATTGGTTGCAGCTCAATCAGCAACGCCGTGTTCAAGGGAGTGTGGAGCTAACCTTCTTTAAACTGCTCATTAACCGTCGATACATCTGCGTGCTGATTGATAGTGGTTCAACCACGAATTTCTTTTCTCCTAACGGAATTCGTAAGGCGGGCCTGGGAATGAAGCAAGTGGAACTGCAGAACCCTTGTCAGACCCAGGTGGGCAACCAAGAGGTTGTCACCTCTACACATGCTGTCAAAGGTGTGCGTGTCACCTTTGACAAGGACCGCACTGTCACACATGAGCTCAACTTCTATGTCATGGACAAGTGTCCATTCGACGCGGTCATTGGCTTGGGCTGGTTAAAGGCTCATTGCCTAAGGACCACGTGGGCGGACAATCAGTTCGTGGTGCGTGATGCCAAGGGGAACGAGCGTACCGTCCTATTGGATGAGACGCGCGAGTCCCCTGTGACTCTTCTAAGTGCAAACAAATTCTGCAAATCAGTGCGAAGGCGCAAGGAAGTTGAGCATGTACATATAGCCTTTGTAAAGCCTCTCCATGTGCCTCCTACTTTTGCTGCGTTTTCTACCTCGGTAAGTAAAACTACTTCTACCACCTCTACTTCTAATCCATCTACTTCTACTGTGAATAATCCCTCTACTTCTGATCCAAGTACTTCGAATCCGGTTGTAATTGTTGTAAATTCTCAAACTGATTTTCATTCTCCTGATGAGGACGATCCTCCACCAGAAGTCCCAACAAACATTCGCCAGCTATTAGATCGATTTCCTGAAGTTTTGGCCGAACCTCGTGGAGTTCCCGAGCGTCCGGTCAAACACAAGATCGAGATAATAGAAGAGAGTGTTCCTCCAAAGGGCTGCGTCTACCGTATGGGACAAGGCGAGTTGGAGGAGTTAAGGAGGCAGATTGAAGACATGATCGATTGTGGATGGATTAGGCGTAGTGAGTCTGAGTTCAATGCACTTGTCCTGTTTGTGCCGAAGAAAGGATGCAAACTCCGGATGTGCATTGACTATCGTGGCCTAAACCGTATCACCCGAAAGAACGCGTATCCCTTGCCTCGTATAGATGATCTACTACATGCTGCAGGTGGGTGCAAGGTCTTCTCCAAGATCGACCTCAAATCTGGCTACCAACAAATTGAAGTTGATCCGAGTGACTAGCACAAAACTGCATTTAAGACACGCGATGGGTTGTACGAATTCATCGTTATGCCCTTCGGTCTTACGAATGCACCAGCCACATTTCAGAGCCTCATGGACAAGGTACTCCGCCATCAGCTCAACAGGTTTGTGGTTGTGTACCTTGATGATATTCTGATTTTCAGCAAGTCCATGGAAGAGCACCTCAAGCACCTTGAGGAGGTCTTGCAGGTCCTCAAGGAGGCACAACTGCACCTCAACTTAGAGAAATCTGAGTTCGRAARGGACARCGWCATCTWTCTTGGGCACCRGTTGTCTGCAAACRGCCTTGAGYCGGAGGCAACCAAGGTGGAGGTCATACGAAATTGGCCTCAACCAGCGAACGTACGCGAACTGCGTTCTTTTCTTGGTTTGGCTTCGTACTACCGAAAGTTTGTGCCAAAATTTTCTGTTATTGCTCACCCACTCTCAAGACTAACCAGTAAGAATGTTGCCTATGCGTGGTGTGGAAGTGTGAGACTGCGTTCCAAGCCTTAAAAGAGGCATTGGTGAGTCATCATGTGCTCCGCATTGCGGATCCCAACCTCACATTCGTAGTCACTACGGATGCGAGCCAGTTTGGGATTGGTGCAGTGCTGCAACAAGATGATGGTGATGGACTGCGTCCCCTCGAGTATTACAGCAAACGCATGCCCAGCCACAAGGTAGCTACCTCCACATACATGCGTGAGCTCTACGCCTTGCCCGAGGCGCTCACACATTGGAAGCACTACCTCTTGGGTCGGCACTTCAAGGTCTACTCAGATCATCAGACCTTGCAGTGGATTAAGACACAAACTGATCTCTCTCCTACGCTGACCCGCTGGTTGCATGACATTGATGTGTACAATTTTGAATTGAAACATAAGAAAGGTTGTTATAATCGCGTTGCTGATGCTTTGTCGCGTCACCCTGAGTTTTTGACTTGCCTTGTGGGTTCGTATGACCTCCGAAGGAAACTGAAGGAGGATCTGGTCGAACACACCGCCAAGGATCCGGACCTTAGTCCTATCCTTGAGCAGATCAAGGCTGACCCTAACAGTCAGCCTGATTTTCATGAGTGCGAGGGTCTTGTATTCCGCCGGTATGGGAAGTTTGATCATTTGTGTGTACCCAACCATGCGCCTCTCCGAACTCATTTCTTGGATTTGGCACATGGTCGGAGTGGACATTTCGGCTTTGAGAAGACTTATGGAAGTCTTTTGCGCTAGTTTGATTGGCCAGGAATGAAAGGATCTGCTCAGAAATTCATTGCGGAATGTCAAGTATGTCAAAGAATCAAGGTCCACAGGCATAAGCCTTATGGCCTGCTGAGACCCCTCCCCATTCTTGATGGACCCGGTGAGTCGATTTCCATCGACTTCACGGACATGGGAAAGGTGAGTGAGGCAGGAAATTCACAAGTCATGGTCATCGTGGACCGTTTCTCCAAATTTCTGAACTTGATTCCTTTCCCTTCCCATGCCCCAACTGAACTTGTCATCGAAGAGTTCCATCAGCTGTATATTCTGCAGTATGGCCAACCGAAAACCATTGTGAGTGATCGGGACACCCGATTCATTAGTAAAGATTGGAAGGACTTCACTTCTCAGATCTACGACATCAAACTCAACAAGACTTCTGGTCGACACCCCGAAGCCAATGGACTGGCTGAGGAGATTAACCAGACTGTCATCCAACTACTCCGTGCATTGATTGTTCCAGATGAACACGTGGGACAAGGAGTTGCACAAAGTTAAGGGACTGTACAACAACTCCATTCATTTTGCAACAGGTGTGACACCAAACCAGTTGCAATATGGATGGCCGATGCGTAATCCCCTCTCCTATCTGTACCCCGAACGATCACCTGGTCTGATGCCCGACATGCCTGGCTACAATGCCAAGTACGCACGCTTGCTCAAAGTTGTTATTGCAGCCATGAACAAGCGCCAGCATGCCATGATCAAACATGCTAACAAGTCGCGCAAAGAAGAAAAATTCAAAGTAGGGGATTATGTTTGGGTCAAAATGTCTGAGTTTTCTGATGAAGAAGGCGTATCACGAAAACTCCTTCCATTGTACTATGGCCCTTGGCAAGGTGATTGGGGATGATTTTGGTCCTTCATATGTGATTGACGTGCCTCCTCATCTGCGCATGTATCCGGTTTTTAATGCGTCCAAACTGTTCTCACACATTGATGATGAGACTTTACCCTTCCGAGACCCTATGATACCTCGCTCTATCGACGACGGCCATGAGATAGACAGAATCGTTTCTCACGAGGGAAGAGGGAGGAACAGACAGTACAAGGTTCACTTCCTCTAGCACCCGTTGACCAAATTCTTCTTGATCGACCGAAAAGAGCTGCTAAAGAATGCTCCCCGTGTTGTGAACGCCTATGAACGACAGATCGTTGAGGGACAGACTGCTAAATTTGTTGCAACAATGACTCCTCATGGACTTACTAAGTCTCTCTTTCGGATTTACTCTTATGATGCATTTTGTGCTAACTCTGAATGAGTTACTCGCTCGAAGGGACCTCGCTCTTGAGAGGGGGGTAATGTAATGACCCGCCAAAAACACAGACTGAGAACACTGCTGATTTCTGGGATTTGCCGCTGGAATGAATGCCTTGCTGAAATTCCCGCATTCTGCTGTGATTTCCATGTCTGTGTGTGTGTGCGTGCCTGCTGATTTGCATCCCTGTCTGAGTGCTTGTCGGTTGAGTGTGTGTATGACCCGCAAGGGTACTTGTTGGTTGAAGGGCCCCGCAGGGCCGGTACTTACCGGTGGCCGTGACTTTGAGGGTTGCAGGGGGAAAACACTCAAGTAGCGGGGGTAGGCCCGCAACACTTAGAACAGCGGGGAAAAACACTCAAGTAGCAGGTAGGCCGGTACCACTCAAGTAGTGGTAGGGGTGTCGGGTACTGGAGGCCGAGCAGAAGAAGACAAAAAGTTGGCATTTTTAGAGGCCCAGTAGCGGTAGGATAGCGGTAGGCCGGTACCAATCCAAGTAGCCCGGGTCTAGGGCCTGTASGGAGGATAGYAGAGCCTGCAATGATGTTTCCCTCCGAAAGGGAGGAGGTACCGSTTGCTGGGAGGCCGCTCGGCCTAGGAAGTCACYGCCCAGGAGGCCGGTAGGCCGCTATATCTCCAGGAAGAGCRAAGAGYTCTTCCTCATTTGCGGTGTGCAAGGRTTGGCGACATGCTGCTGGAGCACAGCGCTGGACTGGTACAGCRCTGCTTGGAGGTGAAGGGCCGCTGGAGCTCAGCTTGGCTATGGCGAGCACTCCAGCTTGAGGAGGAGGAAGAAGGGGGCATGGTAGGAGAGTGGCGGGGCACTTACCTGGCTATGGTGGACACCGTATTCAACACCTTGTTGGGCGCTGCATCTGGAAGGCCCCAGTTGGGGTAGCGCTACACCAGGGAAGCTCGAGGCAGAGTCAGGCATGGCGGACCAAGKCAGCAGCGGCATAGYTTCTTTGGGTTGTCCTTTGGACATCAGCGCAGCACCATAGCTGCTTGGGTTGTCCTTTGGACATCAGCGCAGCACCATAGCTGCTTTGGGTAGTCCGTCATAGTCTATGCATGAGAGAGGAGGCTGAAGGAGGGAAGCCATAGCTATGGTGGACTTGTTGTTGTTGTTGTTGTTGTTGTGAGATGAGTCAGCAGTAAGAGGGAACTTCGGATATTGATTCTGGTTCATCCACTCATTGTTATTATTATTATTGAGAGAAGAATAAGATTGGTGAAGTGAAGGAGGAGGAGGAAGGTGGAGAGAGAAGGGGGGGATTGTCATTGGTCTTGCTGGTGTACTTCTTCTTCTTCTTCTTCTTCTTCTTCTTCTTCTTGTTCTTCTTCTTCTTCTTCTTTCTCTCTCCTCTGGTCTTTATCTCTTTGCAAGTGCTTTCGTTTCTTTCGCAATTGGATGGCATTGTCTTTCATTGTGAATTTGCACTTGGGAAATGACCAGGATCGTAACATCCCTATACTCTTAAAGACTGCAAAGGGCCCAGCGTGACACCCCGTGCTGGGCCCTTCAGAAACCGACATCGGAGCGACGGCGGAAGGGGCGGGTCGCTTGCGAGGACCAAGTCCCTTGTTCCAATGTCTTTTTAGGGCGACGGGCGGAGGTTGTGGAGAGGCCATGCATTCATGGGCCTGCCATTTCGGGTTTTCGTTGAGCGGGCGGGTTTTCGTTGAGCGGGCGGGTTTTCGTTGAGCGGGCGGGTTTTCGTTGCGTGCTGTCCACGCGCGGTCTTCGGGCGGCGAATCGGGGCCCATGCATCGATGTTGTCGACGACCTTATCGGACCGTTCGTTCGTCGCACGTGTGAAAGCGCGACATTGATTTTGGGGGTGGGCCTTGGGTGGAGCTGCGGCGCGGCGCTATTTACGTGGTGTGCGCA